GTATTTCCTGAGGCGCAACTCTCTGGTATTTGAAATACATTTTCGAAAAGTTTGACACCTGAACTGGTAGCCCAAATCTTAAAGCTCTAACTTCAGTGTATTCATTACATAGAGCCAAATAATAAATCTGTAGCATTAGTGGTATTTGAGTAATGTTATACATTACAAAGAAAATTATAGTTTCAAATAAAGTTATGTATTTTTTAATACCCAAATAACCCTAAATGAATCTATCGTTAATTCAGAAAAAAATAAAAAAATAAAAATAACTAGAATAATAATAATAAATAGGTTTATTTGTAATCTATTCACATTTGCTTATACCAATCTTGGATTCAGTCCGTCGCTAAGAGAATCTAAGCATACTCAATCGATGAAACCACTCTTCCATAATATTCCAGGCTCGCTTCGGCTAGACAAACTCCGAAATTCCGATTCTTTTTTCAGCTGGGGAAGTAAACGTTTCCATATGAAACATAAATTAGTTTCATTTCGTTCGGTGAATATGTTTTCGCAATTCCAGCAATATTATTAATGTTTCAAGCATAGCAACAACAACAGCAACAACAACAACAACAACAAGAACAGGAAAAACAAAACGAATCCTTTTCATGTTTGCCTTTTGTAGTGAAAGTCGAGGACTTTTAGTGGAATTTCCGCTGCTGCATGTCGTTCGCTTTGTGCGTTTTCGCTCCTTTAGCTCATGGGCATTTTCATTACGCATACGCCACATCGTACGAGGCATTGATGAATTGTTGGCACTGCCACATGGCTGCTCCTGCTCCTGCTGCTCCTGCTGCTGTTGGTGCTGCTCTTGCTGCTGCCAGCCTCCAGTCACATCAACTATTCCTTTTGTTGCCATTATCGTTGTAGTTGTTGTTGTTGTTGTTGTTGCTGTTGCTCGGTTGCTGCCTGATGTTTGATGCCGTTGAATTTGCCCACGTGGCGCCACCATCTATAGCATCGGCAGCAACAACAACTACGGCGACGACGTGTCCAGACGTGCCCAGACACGCGCTCGCATTGGCTCTCATGTGTGCGACTCCTGCTCCCATCCACCCACTCGAGATAATACCAGGCAGCCAGCCAGCAGGAGCAGCAGCAGCAGCAGCAGGAGGAGTATCATTGGGGCTTGGAATTGCTGGCGTGTGCCCTGCTTGGCTTTGCCTATTTTATGATTTATTGTATATATTTTTTTTTTCTCAGCTGCCCCGCAGCTAACCAACTAACTCAGCCATCACAGAGCTTATTACGCTGACCTTTACACACACACACGCACGCACACACTCACGCTTAAGTAAAAATAATGTAGAAGCAAAAATTCGCCATGTCGATGCTTTGAAGCTTAAGAGTTCTCCAACTTCTCCAAGTTGTCTATGCGAGCCCAAATGGCTATTGGGTGTAGGGGTCGGAGGGGGAGGGGGAGGGGATGAGGGCTAGTTGGGAATACAGCGAGCGATCCGAAGAACTAGAGTGTCCAGCTCATTGAGTAAAGCTCAGTTAAGCCTTCTTATGCTTGTCTTTATTAATTTACTGTTTTCTTTTTCGTTTTTTTTTTTTACTTTTTCGCTTCTTTTGTATTTTATTACCCGCTTTCTCATGCTTCAGTCAAACTTGATGCTAGCTGACAAATTACTTTTCGTTTACGCATTTCTTCTTTTCTCTTTTTTTTTCTTTTTTCTTTATTTATTTTGTGCATTTTGTGGCAATGCCACGCTGAATTCTAGGACTCGGCCCAGATGTGCATTACAATTGCCAGTTAAACATAAAAGTTGCGCTTTTCCCCACGAAAGCGAGAGGAAAAAGCTAGCAAGCGAGAGAAAAAGAAACAGAGAGAGCGAGAGAGAGACAGAGACTGTTAAATGTATTTTTCTATAGAATTTAAGGCAAAAGAGCTCAAGCCCAGTTGCATGGAGAAAATGAGTTATAAAACTACAAGAATTAAAAGCAAGCATAGACGGCGCTTGTTGGCAGTGCTCGACTAGAAGGTACCCTGTTGAGCTTATTTATCTGGTATTTGGATATAAAGTGTTCTCACATTAGCAAGCTAGAATCACAAAGAGGCGTACCTTCAACTTGAGCCTTGAGTTTTTATGCCCTGAAAATTAAATGCAAAATACATTTTAAGGTATATTTGTATGAATTTTAGGTATGTATGTATGTATATTCTTGATGAGGGCGATGAGCTGAGTCGATTTAGCCCAGTCTGTATGTCTCTCCGTCTATCTATCCATATGCTCGAATGCTTCGATATCACGATTATATTGCACAGATCGAGTTTGTTCATCGATAGCTTTAATCGTTTTTTTTTTTTTTTTGTTATCGAATAAAAAATCCTATAAAAAATTCTTTTATGAAATTATATCTCGAACATCAATAGAGCTAGGTTTAAGTGTATATAATACATACAATTTTGATTTTTGGACACCGTCCTCAACACCAATCCTTTTCCACAAAATTTGCAATTAAATAACTTTAAATATTACAATCTTGTGGCATAATTATTTAATTAATAATAATTAATTAATTATACACATATGAATGTCATTATCACATTCTGAAGGTATGATTACGACAGTCCATCTGCAAGAAAAGTTATTCAACAAATAAATACCCATTACATATGTAGCCCAATTGCCAGCGCCGTCTCTGCGTCAACTGCGCAGTTGGCAGAGTGCGTGCCTGCGTATATATGGGTGTGCACGCATATGCTGTTTCATGATAATTCTAGAAACGAGGCGTAGGACGGATTAGAATATCAGACAGGCATATCGAAGAGTTCAGGGCATCTCATAGTAGAGCAGTCTCGCCGAGAGCACTCTTACTTATCTGTGATTGAGGTATATAAAAAGCTGGGTAGTCTTCACTCTTACCGCCGCTTACTGATTAAAAAAAAGCTCTTTTCTGGCGCTAACTCGTACCTGGGCAGCAGGAGTTATACTACTTGCTGATAGTCTTCTACAATGAGCGCTAGCTGAGCACCGTCATCCGTACGCCGGCATCCAGGCTATAATTCTCCAACCGTAAAGCCTATTCGGCACAATCGCAGAAGGCATTTATCTGCTATAATCTACTAGAGGCTTCACTAGGCTTATACATATGCCTATATACCAATTTCCTCACTTATCGATAAAAATCGATAGTCTAAAACGGCTCTTAAAGCACGAATTGACTACCACGAAAGGTATTCCCGTGCCAGAGACACAGATTGTAAATAATTGGAATGCTTTCCCCATGCTTTGCGGTAACACTCAGTCAATCCTAGCTACTTGGTAACACTTAGTCAATCCTGGTTACTTGGCTCATTTGCAAACAGCTCGCGTAGCCACAGAGAATACGTCAACTAAATTCCGTAATGAGCTTCCCCGGGCGGCAATACACAGTTCAGTTATGCTTATTGGCCATCGCAAGTGCCGTTATGACATCATTGAACAGTTCGAAAACCACCGTCTTGCGGCGACCGGCTTAGACAGAAGCCGAGCCGAGCGGAGCAGAGCTTAGCCGACCCTTGCCGGCAGCCATAATGTGGCCATCATCTGTTAAGAGAGTGTATAGAGCTCACCTAATGGAGTAAACTACATGCTAAACACTTGCTCTGCGATGGTAGACGAGGTAGCTGGGGTAGTTGGAGCTGCTGGGGTAGTTCGAGCTGCTGGGGTAGTTCGGCTGCCCAGCTCTTGGCCACAATTGAGTTTGAAGTTTTTAAAGATTTTCGCCTTGAGCTGACTTCGGCATGTTTCGTTTTTTATTTCTATTTTTTTCAACTCTCCCATGGGCATTCGGCTGACATCTAAAGTTTTCTTGAATAAATAACGGTCGCAACGGAACTGTCCAGCGCTTAGCTGAGCATATTTCACTCATTTTCTATTGGTCATTCGATAAGCATCTGTCGAAGCCCGTTCTCATCGTCATCATTATCCTTGTGCCTGACCACAGTTCATATATGTATGTGTGTCTGTCTATCTATGTGTTGATACATCATCTGCCAGATACAGTTAGCTGTCCTGACAACGAGCACTACCACAGTGAGCAACTACTAGCACTACCCCTGCCCCTACCCCTACCCCTACCACTGCTAGGCCCGGCCAGTTCTTGTTTGTTTATTATTTATTTACAATATTTTCTTATTCAAAATGAAGCCGCAAGCCGCTCGGAATTATTGATGGCAAACATACGAGTCGTCCGCTGGGCCGTACCCGGGTCGTACCGGGTCGGGTCAACTAAACCCTTTGCCCACTAATATTCTCTAGCTGCCAGGCATTTCTTCTTTTACTTTCCTTTTGCTTTTCCTTTGCCTCTTGCCTTTTATTTCTCATTTCTTATTTCTTATTTATTTTTTCATTTTTTCCTCTCCCCCCTCTCTCCATCTCTGTCGCTCGTTGGTTTTTCTCTGTTTGCCCCATGCGCCCGCTTCAAGAGTTTTTCAAGTGCGGTCGCCAAAAAGTTCTTGACTCAATTTACGAAATTTGCTTGCTTTCTGTTTCTGTTTTTATTTTGTGTATCGTATTCTTCTCCTCCTTCTCCTTCGCTCGCCAGTTAAAGATTATTAACTTTTAAATTATGTAGACGAGAGAACTGGCAATAGGCGGCGCGGTCGCCGTAGTGTCAAGTTCATTAGCCAGCAGGTGGGGGGTGGGAGGACGGAACTAGAGAAACTGGCGACCCCAAGACTCGGAGACTCGGAGGCTCGCGGCGGGCAGTCGGAGTTGGGGTCAGCCTTTGGAAATTATTTGGAGCTTTTTCAATATTTATCGTGGCATTGATGATTTATGTGCTTTGGGCTTGCCACACACACACACCAACACACATACATACACATTCATGTATACATAATAAATGTATGTTGGCTCTGCGGATGTGCTGTCTGTGAAGCTGCAAACAACAGACTATAATAAATAAACATTTACGAGCCATGTGGCATATTCTAACCAATACATTGACTCTCTTTGTCTCTCTCTCTCTCTCTATCTCTCTCTCCCTTTATCTGTGTGACTTTATAGAAATGAAAAATTCTATACGTGCTGCGATGAGCCATATCTGGATATAACATTTAACATCACCATGAGACGAAAGACGCTCTTCTACACGGTCAACCTGATCATACCCTGCATGGGCATCAGTTTTTTAACGATTTTGGTATTTTACCTGCCCTCGGATAGCGGCGAAAAGGTGAGTCTCCATCTTCCATCATCTTCCATCGAAATTGTCAACATTTACAGTCAACCAGCAGCAGCAGCAACATTTCTCTTTAACAGCTCCATTTTTATTTCATTGACTATTTATTTCTCCCCTTATTTTATATTTTATATTTTAATTTGTATTGTCTTTCGGCCAATTGCCATAATTTATTGCACACACAGTTTTCACACAGGCCCCCATTTCAATGTGCTTTTAATTAAAATAAAAAAAGAGAGAAGGAAATTAATATATATCTAGTTAAACAAGGGCCAACTAGCTGGCGCGCAAATACCCTGTAATTGGCGTAGCAAGCAAAAGCAGCGAGAGCTCAAAGTGCCAGAGAAATTGCATTGATGTGGCAACTCTCTCAGCGCTAGTCAGCGATATTTATCGAACGTGCTTATCGTACTAGAAGCGTGTATACAACATTATTCGGTATACTCCTTCATGTAAGTGAAATGGGTATATCAGCTATGTGCAATTTCTGTCTTACCATGCAATTCGATGGCCGTGAATGAGTTACAGTTAGTTAAATTGTTACAGGGTATACGGGTCTCACGCTCAAATGCGAATAAAAAATGAAAATGCATTTCCACTTCTTTCGCGTCTTTTTTGTGCTATTTGCCGCCATTTAACTTTGAATAAATAAAATTACACGTTGTATTCAATTTAATGTGAACAGATATGCACACACACACACACACACATACAAACACACATGCAAACACACATGCAAACACACATGCGAACAGCGAGCGTTTCGCGATTCGCTCTGTGCATTTCTCAGCGCTCAAAGCGGTCAAATAAAAAATATATATAAAAAAAAATATTTAAAAAATACAAATAAAAAAAAAAGATTTAAAAAAAAATAGAAAAAAAATTAGAAAGGTTTTTTTTTTTTTAAAAGTTTCAAATGAAAAGGGGAACAGCATAATACATAAGTATAAATATTTACATACTGTGGGGACTTATGAATAAATTACGGCCAATTTTCAAAATAAATAAAACGCAAAAATAATTTGTATGTGAGCGCGGTTTTATGAACCTCTAGCCTCGCTGTCGCAGTCGCCGTCGCCGTCGCTGCCGACGTCGACATCGGCATTGGCAGAGGCAGAGGCCATCATGCATAATTTGTGTAATAAATATTGACAGTGCATTTGATGGGCAACGGCAATTGGCCGGTGATATTGGCCGTAAAGCAGCATTCGCCAGAGAATTCACAAATTGAAATTGCACGAGTTAAATAATTACATCGCCTGGCATTTAATGAGAATCGCAAATGCAAACACAGGCAGCGCCGCTTGCCCGGCGACCTCTTTGACTGCACCAAAAGCAATTTACGTGCCACTCGCGGAATCCTTGAATCGCTCTCTCATTGAATCATCGTATAATTGACTCGTCGATTCCTCGACTCGTTGATTCAACAACTCAACAACTCATTGACTCATTGACTGATTTCTTGAATCGTTGAGTCATTGAAACCTAGACTCGCTGACTAAACTGATCGTTGACTCATTGATTCCTCATTGATTGACTCGTTGATTCATTGAATAGGTATGATTCATCACTGATTCCTTGAACCGGTGACTCGCTCACTAACTGACTCGTTGATTCATCAGTGATTCCTTGAATCGGTCACTCATTGAATCATCGTATAATTGAATCGTTGCGTCATTGAAACCTAGACCGCTGACTAAACTGATCATTGACTCATTGATTCCTCATTGATTGACTCGTTGATTCATTGAATCGTTGTCACTTTTATACCTAGAGTCGGTATAATTCATCACTGATTCCTTGAACCGGTGACTCGCTCACTAACTGACTCGTTGATTCATCAGTGATTCCTTGAATCGCTCACTCATCGCATCGTCATATAATTGACTCGTCGATTCCTCGATATTTTGACTCAGCAACTCATTGACTCGCTGATTCCTTGAATCGTTGAGTCATTGAAACCTAGACTAGGTAACTCGCTGACTTCACTGATTGTTGACTCGCTGATTCCTTGAATCGGTAACTCATTTATTCATCGCTCATTCCTTGAATCGGTGACTCATGGAATCAACGTATAATTGACTAACTGACTCCTTGAATCGGTAACTCCTTAATTCATCGTCTTAGTGACTCGTTGACTCAATAACTCATTGACTCGCTGATTCCTTGAATCTTTAACTCAATACGTCGACTTGGTGACTCGCTCACTAAACTAAATCTTGGTTCATTGATGCCTTGAATCGGTCACTGTTGATTCCTGGAATCGGTCAGTCCTTGATTTGGTGGCTAATTGACTCAATGATTTGTCTGATTCCTTGACTCAACAACTCATTGACTCATTGATAATTCCTGGAATTCGTAACTCGTTGATACCTGGAATTATATAGTCGCTTGTTGGTTGTTTGCTGGGCCTATTATCATGATTCATGAGAGAAGTCCAATAGCATCATACGAATCACTTATACTGGGATATAATAGACTACTCTAGCACCCAATCTCAGAGTTTGGAAATAAAACCTTAGGCAATGTAGAATAAAAGAGGAAGAGACAAGTGTATGTATAGGATTATATTTGATGTAGGTAGAACTGAAGTTATTCGCATCAAAACTTGAGATTGTCAAGCGAGTAATCAATGATTTATATTTACGATATGAAAAAGGCCCTAACTAACTGTTATCAAAGTTATGCCAATGATTTATTTACATAGATCATTCGCTCTAGAGTGAATGGAGCTGCCACCAGTTGATTGGATATGTAAATTGGAAATGGAAAGAAAATTAATAGCTGATGAAGAGGCACACTTCCAAGAGTGATAAAAGTGATAACAGCATGTCGCATAAAATTTCTTGCCTTAAGACAGATTTTACGTATAACAGAGCGAAGTATGCCTTGACCATGATTTAGATAGAAGCGAAGGGCAAGATAAGCGTTAAATAGTTGAAAAAGGAAAAACGAGAAACGAGAAACGAGGAATGAGGAACGAGAAACAGCAACAACATAACGAAAAATGGAACGGAATGCGCCTATGGCAACGACATTTCAGTTTCGTCCCGCTCGAATAAACAATTCATTGTGTTGTTTTTATTTTACGAGCCCGAGTCCTCGGGCCGTGCTCCGTTGTTGTGTGTATGATTCGTTTTATGGTCACACATACTGGACCAGCTGGTCAAGTGGACTGATGGACATAAGCACACACACACACGCACACATACACAGTGGGCCCGCACAAATATTTACGCTTAAAAGCGGTTAACATATTGAGCCGAGAGCCAGCAGATTCCAGTGTCTGAACTGAACTGAATTTGGGAATAACTATGGAAACTTTTTGCACGTAGCCCAGTCCCAGTTCCCGTTCCCGGCATGGCCAATCGAGGCTGGAATCGGATTCAGAATTTGAATTGGAATTGCAATTGGCAATTTACATGCATATGCGGCGGAACGCACTCCATTCATTCAATTGCCGGACAGCGTTCGTGTCCAATACTAAGTAGCCGGCCTGGCCTGGCCTGGCCAGGACAGGACAGCAGACCCGACTGGCCAGTCACCCCTTACATTGTTGGTATTTTATTGTTGAAGCAATTACATTTGATGTGGGTCAATCGCCGCAGCAGACGTCGAGCTACGGCTAAATGCGACAGGCGCGAGAAAGTGGTGCACATAAATTGCACACAAAGAGAGAGGGGGAGAGAGAGGGAGACTTTAACATGCACACGCATTTGCATAAATAATGCGCTCGGGCTGTGATCCTTAAACTCGGTGATTTCAGCTTGAGGACTTTGTAAATGTCGCCGCTTGTCAAAAGCGAGTCGCAGCCTTAATTAGTCAGCGCACTAATCGCTTTACAGCACTTTGCGAAACTAAGGCTAATTATCATAAAATCATTAGGCATCAAATTTATGCCACACACACACACACACAATGAAAAGCATGGGGGTTTTTGTGCACAAAGCAGCTGAAGCAGCTGAGGCAGCGCCCAAATTGTTCGTCTCAGTTTCGACATTTAATTACTTTTTCAACACACTTCATTACAAGCAGCTTACACACACACACACATGTACATATATAAATAAAAAAGACTGTGCCTGTGGGCGTGGCTGGCAGCTGGCGCTTTACCTGGGCCACCTGGGCCCCTGACCTGCAGTCGAGCCAGCTGTGTGCTTAGCAGTTAATACAACTTGGCAGCCGCTGACTGCCGTTCGCTCACTCATTCACTCTTTCTCGCTCGCACACACACGCACACACACACACTGGTACATATATCAAATCATATTGAGTTTGCTTTATTGAGCAAGCTGCGAAGTGTGCTTTGGTTTTTATGTGCTTGGCCCCGCAATATATGCTGCGTATATTGAAAGCTGCCTGCTACAGTGGGGCAAACGAGCAATTTATTGGACAAAAAATAATAATAATACTACTACAGACTATGGGTGTTTACCAATTGGTTCAAAATCGAGCTGCTGAATTCTCATCTTATTCAAGAGTTCTTAACAGTGGCTTAACATTTATGTTAGTTAACAGATAATGACTTGACAAGCTCTAATAACTGTTCAACATAACATATATAGTACTTAATATATACGTTTATCTTTAAAATATACTAGCTTAACATCTATTAACAGCTGTTTAACATTTCTGTTGCACAACAGTGGCTTAGCTGCTTAGATAGCCTAACATAACTGTTACAGAAGAGCTGTCTTAGCTTAAAATATATATAAAATATATACAGCTGGGAAACATAAAATAGCACCACTTGCAAATAGAAAGTCTAAGAAGTTCTCCTCGATATATTTATCAATGTATCGATCTACTTATTATTTTATTTAATTTTTATTTTTAAGGAGAAAACAATTCGTTATTGCAACAAATAAAAATTATCACAAAAATATTTAACGTTTTTATATATTTAAAAAAAAAAAAAAAAAAAAAAAAAATTTAAAAAAAAAAAAAAAAAAATAAAATGGTGTTATTTTATTTTTCGTAGCTGTATATAATATATAATATATATAATATATATATATAATATTTATACGACAAATTATATATTTATTTTACATCTATTATGAACTGTTTAGCATTTCTAGTTCTTAATAGAGCCTATAAGATGTTATTAACGGTTTGTAAAGATAAACGAATTTGTTTTAAGTTGTTTTTATATGAGATGGCTAGTTTATTAGCAATATGAGGATATGATAAGAAGAAACATTTTTGTTAAATAGCCTATGTCAACCTATAAATCTTACAGAAAATATAATATATATCGGAGAATATAGTATATATAATATATAGGTATAGAAGTTTACATAAGACTTTTTAGATATTAATATGAGTATTGGGTATACTTGTTCCTATAAACTATATACTTTGGTAAACCAAGTCAATACATATATAATACATTTCCATGCATTCGATTGGCATTACCTTATTGAATTTTTAGGCATATATCAGAAGTTTTAGTAGCTGGCTTAATCAAATTTCTATATACATTTCTTAAATTTATAAACTAATTCCAAATGCTACAGAATACCTGCACTACAATTTGAATGGGTAATGAGTAGCCAATGGGTATCGAGCGATCAGTTCTGCCAGCTTCATGCACTTTTGATTGTTTTGAGCAAAACAAAGTCAATTGGACCCACAGTGGGTGACAGTGAGGCTTAGTCACTCGGCTCGCTATGTGTTTATTTATATTGCTTGTTGTTGGATCTTCTTCGACATCTTCTGTTTGTTTATGTACATTTCACACATACCAGCGCAAACACACACACATATACACGTATATATATAAAGAGAGAAATCAATGGCAATTTGTTTTGACTTTTTATATTAATAACTCAAGTATAAAATTGCTAAAAATACAAAAATGCTCGCAAATGATTCGAAATTAATTTCTTTTTTTACTGCGCAAATAAAGTGAACATGGAGATGGTTAAAAAAAAACACACACACACGCAAACACGCAAAGAGCATGGCAGAAAGAGGAAGAGATATGTAATTACGTGTTTACATGCTGCTTAACCGAGTGCCATATAAATTAGCAGAACAGCTTCGAGGACATCGTTAAATAAACTCCTCGATTCGAATCATTATTCACAATAAATAAAAGCGAATAGACAGAGTATAAGGGATCTCCAATTTATATGACCGAATCGTATAGAAATAAGAGCCTAGGCTAGTTCAATTTTGTTTGAATGCCTATAAAAGCAAATGACATTCAACTGGTTGTATAGTTATTTAGATATGGGAACGTTTTTGATTCACCTTATTATCCATAGATGACTATAACTTAGAAAAGTTCTATGATTGTAATACGACTTTCGGGAATGCCAATCAGTTATATATAGAAAATGAAGTGAATGAAATTGAACATGATCCATTCAAAACATATTTGTCTTCGGGTCTTGATCCGATCAACTTCCTCAATCATAAAGAATTCATTCATAAGCCGTACCCATATATTCTACCTTCTAAAATATTGTTTCTTTCCTTTAGCTATGTATCCTATGTAAGAACTGACTTTTCTGAAAACGCACTTCAACGCGTATCTAAAAACATATTCAATCAGGAATCACTTGACTTGACTTGACTTAACTTGTCTTGTTTCATGTTTAAACTTGTTTTCTCGTCCTTCAACTCATTTCAGCAATGCAAAAACTCATGCTTTAGATAATAAGCATGCATAAAGCCTTATCAGCAATTGTGTGTGCACAGTCTATGGCGTCAACGACGCCCATTACCATTACCATCCCAGTACGGCATCTAGTTGCTTTTCCGTTCACCTGCAACTCAATTTCCCAAATCCCTTACACTGTTCCGTTGCCCATCTGAAAAAAAGCTGCAAATGAACTTGACTAAAAAACATCACAGACTTTATACACTCCCATTGCGATATCGCCCTCGCCCCCTACCCCCTCTCTCACTCATTGTGTACTACATATTTGTGACTCTGTCTCTCTGTCTCTGTCTCTGTCTGTTGCAGGTCTCATTAAGCATATCCATTCTGCTGTCGCTCACTGTGTTCTTCCTGCTGCTGGCGGAAATCATTCCGCCCACGTCGCTGGTGGTGCCGCTGCTCGGCAAATTCGTGCTCTTCACAATGATACTGGATACGTTTAGGTGAGTGAATACATATATGAATCTAAGTGCGAGTGCGAGTATGACTGTGAATGTGAATGCGAATATGAATGATGTGAATGCGAATGTGAATGTAAATTCCAGGACGCACACGCACTCGTTCGATTTGCATGCCAACTGATAACGGTACACGCTAGCCCCCAGGTGGGCGTGTCGGTTCACCTGTCTGCCGTCTGCCGTCTGCCGTCTACCGTCTGCCGTCTGGTTCTTCCTTGTTTATGAGACAGCTGCCATGGCGGAAACGGATGCAAAAAATAAAAATGCATGCGCTACAGTTATTTTTCTTATTTGAATACCCATTAAACATGCGCGCGAAACGTATCAGCTGCAGCAAGCCGTTGCCTTTGAGGCCTCACAAATACACCTCTAGCACTCAAGTCAAGATAGGTCCAAGAGCTTAGATAATATTACTCAAGAGCTCATAGCAACTGGGGTACTTCCCAAATTATAGAGAGACGAGCTAAAATGGATCGAATCTCGTTTAAATATCGGTAATGTTATCGATTATCAATGAAATTAATCGATTAACTCAACGCGATAACAAATTCAAATCAAATAATTCGGTAATAAATATCGATTACTTTTCTATTTTTTTAAAAACAAACAATCGATAGCCTGATATCGATATCACATGTTAGTAACTACACAAAAATGAGCGTATCTAATATCAAATGAATAATCGATCGATTGCTTAAATACTTTTAATAATATTCATTGAAGCCATACGAGGTGCTTCAGTAACTCCTTTGTGAGCTTATTATCAATATCAAGTTTACTTCACATAGAAAGGCAGATGCATTTCGAATCGTATCGATAACTTAATAAATTTTCTAATTTCAATAAAATAGATCGCCTTATGACCGATTGAAATCGACATCAAATCCAAACTATAGCAGAATAGATCAACTTTTATTTTTCTAATTTCTATCAAAATCGATATGATGATCAATCAAAATCGATATCATAGTTCAGTAACTAATATAATTATAAGCTATTTTATTTTCTACAGAGAAAATCGTAATGGAATTCCACTCATAAAAAATAACAATTTATGTAGGTTGATTTTTAAACTAATGAAAGTGATCGATTAATCTATTAATAGCGATATCAAAATTCCGATTTTAGATCTGTTTCAAATCTTCTTTTAGAGGACGTTTTTAGCACAGAGCTATACGATACTATTGAGCTTTTCAATTTTTAGTCAATGGCCGGTAGAGCTCAGAAAGAAAATATTTTCAACGTGTTTGAGGCGTAAGTCAGGCGTAGGTATCTAGAAGTCTGGCATGCCCAGCTGAAGTTGTCTTAGATGCTGTAGATGTATATTTACATATGTATATGTATATAACTTAACTCTAGCTAGTAAATGTCATAAATCTGTCAATGAACTTCCACATGATTAGGCAGAGAAGCGATAAGTAGTGCATGACCGAAGCGTATCTACGTACCATTGTAGGGTATCTCTCACGTCGTGACCTTTGACTTTGGCTGACGCTCTGGCACGGCCCCGGACGGGACGCGACTCGACTCGACTTGACTTGACTTGACTTGAGTTAAAGCCCGCCTCGACTGGACCAGCGCTCGGCTGGGCAAGTCCAACTCTGAAATTTACAGCCATTTGCCACGCCCCCAGCTGGCGCACAAATGGCCGCCTAATTGTTGTTAAACAAAAGTCGAGGCTGTCTTGGCGCTCAGGGCTGGCTCAGGTTGTGCCGAGGACAATGGCGCAACAGGACTCTGACTTGAACCACAAATGATGTAATTAAGCCAATGGCCATAACACCAACAGTCGGCCAGCCTCAGCCTCAGCCTCAGCCTCCGTCTCCGTCTCCGCCTTCGTGTCTGCCTTCGCCTGTGCCTCTGTCTGGACAAAAGCTAATTAGACAGACGTGGGCGTCACAAGTTAATTAGCCGGACTAAGAGGCCCTGAGACGGCGCACCGACTTAAGTCCCCTTAACTCACCAGCCCCGCCCACTGACCAAGAACTTGCTCTGCTTCAATCTCTCTTGCAGCATCTGTGTAACAGTGTTGGTGCTCAACATCCATTTCCGGTCACCGCAGACCCACACGATGGCGCCCTGGGTGCGCACGGTGTTCATCAATCAGCTGCCGCGCTTCTTAGTGATGCGTCGACCGCTCTACCCGATCAGCGAAATGATGTATGTAAATTAATCTGCCCACCTCCTCTCTCTCTCTCTCTCTATTCCATTTCCCCTCACTCTATACATATATATATATATCGTATTTCCCTTTATCCGCAGCAAGTCGTCGCGCCGCCTCATGGTGCGCACCTGCAATGGACTGGAGCTGAGGGATCAAATACCACCGCTGCCACCGCCAGTGGCTCTGTCCCGGTAAGTGCCGCAGCCTAGCGAAACCCCTCTTCTCTATCTAAAGTTGTCTCCTCCTCCTGCTCTTCCTCCTGTGCAGCATGCATCACAGCCCAAAGACCACGTCGCGCAGCACCTCGCCGCATCTACAGCACCGGGTGCAGGCCATGAGCCTGATGGACGAGCTGGGCACTGTGGGCGGCTGCGGCGGTGCATCGACGATCACTGGGCACCTCAGCTCGCTGTATCCGCCGACCATCTCGACAGTCAATCAGCAGACCTCGACCACCTCCTCCCTGATTGATGCCCAGTACCACAATCAGTATCAGCAGACGGGCGGCTCCCTGCTGGATCATCCGCTGACGCCGACCAAGTTCCGTCAGATGACCTCCACCTCCAGCCAGACGGGCCAAAACGGATCGGGTCATCATCATTATAATGTCGGCGGTGGATGTGGTGGCACTGGCGGCGGAGGTGGTGCCAGTGGCGGTGCTGGGAAGAGCATCTCCACCACAACGCTGGCACACCAGGCCAGCCAAGTAGGTAGCTATCATCTGTACCGACAGCAGTCGAGCTGCTCGGCAAACTTCTCGCCATTGCCACTGCATGCGCACCAGGTGCATGCCTCGACGACCACCTGTGACCTGGGCCTGGGCGGTAACCACAATCCCAATGTGATAAAGTCCACGACGACGGTCAACTCGGTGGCCACCGCCTCCACGCTGGCCGATTCCTGCTGCAGCGGCACCATACAGATCCATCAGGGCATGGGCGCCGGCGCCGCCTGCCAATCCTCAGAGCTGCTGCATATGCACCGACCCACCACCTCTGCCGCCGCCGCCGCCGCCGCGGCAGCAGCATCGGCCTCGGCATCGGCATCAGCATCGGCATCGGCATCGGGCGCCAGCACATCGGCAGCTGCTGCAGCGGCTGCAGCGGCGGCCGCATCAGGGGCGGGTGGTCTCACGCCGCCCCCTCCACCGCCGCCGGCCTGTGATATACTGCCCGCCTGCCAGCGCGAAGGCGGCCCCCATTGCTGTTCGGGGCGTGGCAATGTGCGCCAGCGCTGGCACACCTGCCCGGAGCTCCACAAAGCCATGGACGGCGTCACGTACATCGCGGATCAGACGCGCAAAGAGGAGGAGAGCACACGGGTGAGTCAGACAGCCAGAGTCTTTCAGCTCCTGCTCCTCCTTCTCCCACCTCTCCTGCAGCTGGCATCGAGCATATGTAGTAGGCAGACGGCAAATGAGGCTAAGTGAGGTCGTGGGGCCGTGAGGCCGCCTGGCAAATCCGAAAGCCGCTTAGCATTTGGTGCAGCTTAGCCTAAGTCCCCGTCAGTCGCTGCCGCCGGCAATTGTCAATGCAGGAGCAGGAGTGGGGCGGCAGGGGGCAGGAGCGGAAGGAGATTGGGTTATTGGGCCACAAAATTGGGCGTGCAATGTTAATAGGCCAACATTGGCGGGCGCAATAAATTAGAGCGGTCTTAGTCTTGGATTTATTCGAACGTCAATAATCGATGGGCGGCGATGACACCTAACCGGGACACAGCCGGAACAAATGAGCAGCCGGGCCCGGCGAGCAGTCTGCCATATCGGTTTCATGTCGATAATGATGTCAACGAGAATATGCTGCTCCTGCTCCTGCTCCCGCTCCCGTTGACGCCGCTGCAGACTGGTCAGCCCTGGTCCCTGGTCCTTGGTCCTTGCTCACTCGGTTGACCTCTGCATCATGCATGCTCGGACTATCCTCGCTCTATAGCTATGTCTGTCGCCTGTCCCTCTGTCGGGCGCAAAGAAGGCGTCAAAACTTTTAATGACTTTTCATGCGCCTTATGAGCACGGCCTCCGAGTCCTCCGAGTCCTTGTGTGTAGCTTGCCAGGGCATAATGAATGTCTTCTGGCAGCACAAATGCCAATAAAAGTATTTTATTAAAATTACGCACACATTCAATCATTATTGGAATGTCATGCTGGGCTTAGACCATGCCACACAGCAGCCACAGTGCAGAGCACACGCAGGACATGACACGATAAGCCGCAGGAGATATATATATATATGTATATATGTGTATGTGTTTGTGTGTGTGTGTGTGTGACACAACAAAACATGAGACAGAGCATAATATAATAGAACAGTTGGCGCGCAGGCATTTACATTCAGTCGAAGGGCAGGAATTTCGCGACCGCACGAGTCTGAATCTGTGGGGCCAACAACGAAATGCAATTGAGCCCCAATGATATCCACTTCCATACATACATATATATAAATAGCCAAGGCCACTGACTTCAACTCTGTCTCTGTGTGTGTTTGGCTCGTTTGAAATGATTCGAATCACTTGGCGTCAGCCTCAACCGGAGCCACTCACATGCCCAATAAGCATTCATATCACAAAGAGGCCCCAAAGCAATTCAAATCCTTTAAGTAACCAATCAGCCCGCATCGAACTTTCCATAATTAAAGATATCCCTTTCTATGGAACTGGCCTGGGTAATGCATATACACAGTATAGTATCGTTGAGTGGAGTGTCTCGAGTCAGCTGCTCATTTGTTGCCTGAGGGAGAGAGAGATAGATACAAGTCTTGTCATATTGGAATCGCCCATTTAATAGAGTTTGATTATTCCTCTAATATTCACATAAGTGATATGAACTCGGACTCTTTCATTCATCCGATTCCAATATCTGTTTCCCTCTCTATACTTCCCTCTACTCTCCTACTCTACTACCTTTTTCCTCTCTCTCTCTCCCTCTATATATACAACTTTCTCTCTCTCACTATCTCCCTCTCTCTACCTCTCTCACTCCTGCTCATTATCCCCCCTCTTTCTACCTCGTTATCTATCCATATTTTCTACTTCTGTTTCTACCTCGCTTTCAGTTTCAGTTTGTTTCCTTTTACTTCACCAATTTAGTTCAAAATTTGTTCCCTCTCTTTCTCTCTCTCTCTCTCTCTCTGATTTTCCCTCATTCTATTTCTCTTTCTCTCATTGTCACCTATTTCCTCTTTCCATCTAATCCATCCTAGTCCTCCCTACTTTTATTTCAATTCCTCTCTCAAACTCCATATTCTCCTCTTCCCAAATTGTTCTTTCTTCACTTATATCCATCTCTCTCTCTCTTTCTCCTTCTGCCCCTCTCTCTTCCTGTCTCTGTTGCATATATCTCTATATCCATCCACCTCTCTTCATTTCTCTCACTTTTCATCTATATATCTCGCCACATCTCACGCTCTATCACGTCTCTCTCTCTCCCTCTCTTTCACTCTCTCCCTCCTCTCTCTCTTTCTCTCCCTCTCTCTCTCTCACTCTGTCTTTTGAACACTTGAACACTAATTGGTGTTATTGCAATCATTATATTGTATATTATATGCTTTTTGTCAACAGGTCAAAGAGGACTGGAAATATGTTGCCATGGTACTGGATCGCCTCTTCCTTTGGATATTCACAATAGCCGTGGTCGTGGGCACGGCTGGCATTATCCTGCAGGCGCCCACACTCTACGACACTCGCGTGCCCATTGACATTAAGCTGTCGGAGATTGCCTCCACGACGGCCAAGCCAAATGTGGCGAGGCCCGTGTTGTAAGTCCCGCAAGGACCGAAACACCCACACACACAGACACTTTCACACCCATACACAGATACGGAAACACGCGCACACACACATACATATACTCGTGCCCACATACGGACAGTCTGAAAAAAAAAAACAAAAACAAAAACAAGATGAGAATTTCGCATTTGTTTTACTTTTGTTTTGTATCGTGACAACTGCAGCAATCACGACAACAACAACAACAACAAACAAGCAAGCAAACAACAACTATAACTATAACACAGATATCGTAAAGAAAAGTATTTGTTATATAGTACATACATACATATGTCTGTACTTACATAAATGTATTCATAGGTAAAGAAACGATATTGAAAGAAACCCTAAATAATAATAACTAAAATTGTACACTAATGTTTAGCAAATACAACAACATCTACAACAAATGAAAAAAAAAAAACAAGGCACAAAATAACAAAAAACCAAAAAAAAAAAACTTAAGAACGTAAGAACGCGAGGAACAAATTATACAAAGTTTGACCTTATGCTCTTCCAGTAATTAAATTGGAACAAATTTCTGATTAGTAAATATCGGAAGGAGTCAGTTTTTAGAAATTGTTTGTTTTGATGTCGTTTTATGAACTAGAAACTGTTCACTCACACACACACACACACACACATGCATAAGTCAGTTCGTTAGCTGATCCGCATATATGTAAAAGAACTGATTCCTTTTTCGATTAGCACTTCGTTAGCCGGTCATCGATAGGCGATATCCTTGCAATTGAACTGTAATTGTCAACTGGACTGTAATTGATAATTGTTGTTTTCTGGTACGGCATTTAAAATTGAATAAATATAACAGATGTTAGTCGAAATGTTACTTAGCTAGCTAAACTAAACCAGAATCACCAACAACATGCAACATGCATACATACATACATATATATATTTTTATTTTTCTTTGAAATTGCCAGAGGCGACAGTTGAATGCAGAATATGAGAGAATGAGTTGTTGAGCTTTCGAGCTGCAAATGATGCATGCAAATTAGTGCAAATAAACAGTGTACGATGCGCCTAGCGGCAATTAGTTAGCACAAAGCTTTAGTTATTATGCCCAAGTGTGCGTGTTTCAAGTGTTGCTGTGCGTGTGTGCATCGGTATGTGTGCCAGTGACTGCATGCATGCATATATGCATGTGCGTGTTTATGTGTGTGTGTGTGTGTGTGTGTGTGTGTGTGTGTGTGTGCTTACACAAATACACAGACAGTAAATAATCACCATTTTGAATTCAAATTCAATTTTAGCACACATCAGCTGCGCGCGCGTGCATCGCGCCTAATTGGCCACAGCCGCCAATATTAACCAGCGACATGGCCACAGATCAACAACAGTCCTATTGCAATACATACATACATACCTATTCCTATTCCAGTATGCATTGCATGCATACATACATATGCATACCCTAGCTGAATTTCCTAGCCCACTAGGGCAAATTTAAAGCCTGGCAATAGTTTTTTATTAGCTTCCCCGCCACACATACAAATGTGTGCACACACATGCATGCATACATATGTATGTATGTATGTATGTTTGTAGCTAAGTTATTATCATAGAAGCAGTATTTCGCTGTCGCTGTTATTGTTGCTCTTCTTGCTTTTGTTGCTGTTATAAATGAGCATGAGCATTTAATGTTCGGCACGTCGAGTATAAATTCCTCCATTTCTTTTTTTTTATTATTACTATTTTTTGTTGGTTTTTGTTTTGTTCTCAGTGTATGCTCGACGTTTTTTAATGCACTCGCGCCTCTCATAATTTATGCAAATTTGCAATTGTGCTGCAATTTATGCGCACAATTTACACTGGCTGGCTACCTGAGCCGAGCGGGTCACGTGCCAACAGCAGCAGAAGCAGCAACAACAAAGAGCAAAAGTCTAGGCGCCAAAAAAAAGAGCTTTCCTCTGTCTCTGAGTTTGCAGCGATTGTAGTTGTTGTTGTTGTTGCCTGGTTTTGTTTTGTGTTGTTTGGTATGCTTTGGTTTATTTTATTGCTTCATTGCTCGCCCATTCGTTTATCTGCATTTCCGTGGGCAATAAAAATCAAATAACGTTGATTAAGGCAGGCGGGCGGCGGCTAACAAAAAAGTGTTTTCCAAAAACCTTTTTAAATCCAAAAACCAAGCGAATTCCCACGTTTAATGCTTAGCAAATGTGCAGGGAAATTTTAACAGCCGCGCAGAAATGTCCCAAGGCAAGCTATTGGCACGCTAACAGGATGCTGTTAGGGGTCATAGCTATTCGAACAGCGCGCTGTTAGTGCTCTGTAATTAAGCCATTTTAGTTAAAGATCTAAAATATGATCGAAATCTAAATGGTTTTCTATAGATATATATTACCATAATTTGGTGCATTTTTATTTAAAATGCAAATTAGCAAATGACTAAAATACCGCACAATCAAATTAATGCAAGTGTACTGCTTACACAGTAATATATTTAATTTCAATTCATTTTTAATAGCTAACGAATGCGGTTTGTGCGGTATTTTAATTTGTTGTTTGCGATTAGCCCACGGCGATTAATAATATGCGCACATAAAAATACATTTTAATTGCGATATATTTGACAAATATTTGCAGTCGGTTGAGCTTTGAATTCGAATCTGGGCAAATGATGTTTGCAGTCTTTCGCATTATTGAATTTTTGTCGAATTTTTTCCCTTCATTATTGGCATCTTTTAACGCTGGGCAAACTTTAATTAAATGAAAATGCAGCTGCATACAAAATGAAAAGCCATTAACCAATAACAAATTATTATTTTATGCCACTTATACTATCTGCATATATGCGTGTACATGTGTGTGTGTGCGTGTGTGTGTGTGTGTTGGGCGAGGACACAGCAGAGCAGAGAGGCTATAAAAATAGCGAAAATGTTGGGAAAGTTTTTAAAACACTTTTAATGACGGGCCAAGCGGGCAACTCGCCTGGCTTTCGTCTTGTGCGGCTCGCCTCGCCTCTATTCATTGCTCTCCCATATATACCCTAACCTTACTTACAGTGGGGTATATTCGTTACCTGCGCAAATAACTCCATGTAGTTATATTCGCTTCTATTCCACATTTATTCACTATGTATACCTTAAGCTCAGTGGCAATGGGTATATCTGGATAATAAATCTATATATCTTTCCCTATCTGCCTCTGTCTATCCGTGCATTCATCCCTTGCTCCGTTAAAACTTGGCGTTTTTCAATTTTCATTAGATTTTACCTATTTTACTGGGATTGATAACTATCGATAGCTGTCGATATATATCTATTTCGATTTTTAGCACATCATTTGAAAACATCGTTGACATCGCCATAGCCAAAGCTGCCATAGCAACGCCTGTTCATCGCATTAAATCTGTTCATCCGGGAGCAAAGTTACTTTGGAATACATGTCCACATGATTACTACATAGAGAATAAGCCCAACTCTATGTTAGGTGCAGGGTATTCGCTAGTCGGGTATACCCGACTCGAGCACGTTTACTTGTTTTTAAATAGTTTTGATTTTCTTTTCATATATTTTTTGCTTTTGGCTCTGCTTTTTTCTTTACTTTGCCTCACTTTGGCTGTCGCCTGGGCGGGCAGCTCGGGCGACATTGAGGCCCAACCGCAAATCATAATTGTTGTGGCAGCAACAACAACAACAACAACAACAACAACAACGACAACGGCAATGGAGGTGGAGAGCAACACAACAATAACAATAATACCAGCTGTGGCCAGCACAAAAAGGACATTAGCCTGGCTATCGCCTTGACTGTCTGACTGCGCCGCGCCCAGCTATTACACACGCCCCCTACAAGCCCAGCCTCCTCGCTACCGCGCTCCCCCGCCTCCATCACTCGTTTGCTGTCTGTTGCTTGTTATTGTAATTCTCATTGTTTCATGCATTTTTGCCGTTTGATGCTGCTGCTCCTGCTCCTACTCCGGCTCCTGCTCCGGCTGCTGGTCCCTGCCCCTGTCCTGGCTGCGATGCGTATCACAGCGAGTTTTGTTATAACTTTCCCGCTCAGCCACTGAAAGTATGTTACAGCATTTATCTATTGCCCTGAGACGCGCAACGCGATCTGCCCCTCTCTCTCTTTCTCTCTCTCTCTCACACTCTCTCACTCTCTGTGTGTGGCAATACAAAAGCAATCATAAAGTTACAGCCGCCAAACTGCCTGCTACCCCTTGGGGCGCCATTTCCCAAAAAAAAAAAAAAAAAAAAAAAGAGAATAAATAAAAGTACAGTCAGAGTCGCGCGAGCTCGAGACTTGTTTAAATGGGCCTATCTATAACCACCTAGATAGAGAGTGAGCGAGAGGGGAGGAGAGAGAACTGACAAATTTATTGCTTGCTAATAGGAAAACAGTCCAGAAACGGACAAAGGACCAACTTTTGGCAAACGCCAAGCGGAAGCAAAACTGTTTTTCAACATTTTCGTGTATGTGTGTGTGTGTGTGTTTTTTTTTTTTTTTCATTTAAAACAAAAAATGAAAGGAGAATAAAAATATGTTTTCAGCATAATTTCATTCATTATATACGAATTTCCATTGTTGCGCGCGTGCCGCTCAATTTCGGCGAACTCATTATCGTGCCACGCCCATGCCGCCCCACGCCCCTCGGCCATAGCTATAGACATAGCCCGCAGTTCACCTTGGGCAAACATATTTTGGCTAATTTGATTTTAATTTCATTCGAAATGTTTTTTCCCACTCTCACTCCCCCCTCTGTATATCGCTGTCTCCCTCTCACCCTCCCACCATCTCTGTCTGTCCGTTTGTTATTCTTTGAGTGAATCGCTTTGGTTGGTTTGGCTCGGTCTGGCTAGATTGTTAATTGATAATAAAACAAAGGCAAGCAAATAATTCATTCAAATTGATGAAAACCGCAAGAAGAAGCAGAGACACAAATTAATTGAAATCATTTCCCCGGAACTAAGCAACTGTCGCAGATTTTTGGCCCTAGGCGCACACACTATAAATAAATGCGGGCATTTTAGGCTAAACAATAACGCACACAATTCACAAATATTTGAAAACAAAATGAACAACACAAAAAATAAAAGACAATTTT